ATTATTATTCTCATGATCATGATTATCATGGTCACGATTCTTATCATTATCATTATTATCATTATTATTATCATCATGATGATTATTATTATTATCATTATTATTATTATTGATACTATGATCATTATTATCATCATAATCATTGTTTTTTCTATAATTATTTTTATTATTATTGTCATTATTATGAACATTGTTATTATCATCATCATTATCATCGTCGTCATTATTTTGATCGTCATTATTATTATTATCATTATTATCATTATCAATGTCATTTTCACCATTGCTATTATAAGTATTATTATTATCATTATTACTATCATAATTATCGTTATTATTTTTACCATAATCATCATTATTATGATTATTATCATCATTAATATTATCGTTATAACTATCATTATCATTAATAGTATCATCGTCATCATCATCGTCGTTATCATCATCATCATTATCATTATTAAAATCATCATGATTGTTAATATTATTATTATCATCATCATTGTTAACAGCATAATTATCATCATCATTATCATTATCATTGTCATTATTACTATCATTATTTTTATCATTATTGTCATTATCATGAACATTTTATCATTTTTATCGTTGTCATCATTGTTATTATCGTCCTTATTGTTATTGTTATCATTATCAACAAGATCACTATTATTATTATCATTATTGTCATTATCACTATCATAATCATCATTATTATTATTAACATTGTCGTTATTATTATCTTATCATCATCGTTTTTATAACTTTTATCCTTATTGTTATTAACATCGTCGTTATCAACATCTTATATTATCATCGTTTTTATAACTATTATCATTATTATTATAATTATCATCCTTTATATTATTATTATTATCGCCGTCATCATTATTATTATTATCACTTTTATAATTATTGTCAACATCATCATCATTATTATTATAATCATTATGATTAATATCATCGACATCATCATCATTACCGTGAAAATTATTATTATTATTATTAACATCTTTATCATTATTATCTCTGATTATTATTATCATTATTATTATTATTATCAACACTATCATCATTGTTATTATCTTCATTATGATTCTTAATATCATTATCATCATCGTCATCATCGTCATCGTCGTCATCATTATCATCATTATCATTGTTATTATTATTATTATCTTTATGGTTATTATTTTTGTTTTCGTTGATATTGTTGCAGTTGCTGTCGTTCATGATGTTGTTTTTTCGTTTTTTTATAACCTGATGAAGCACATTATTGCAACGAGATTAATGCTAAAATTATTTTTGTTTTTTAGGGATAACGAAGATTTGGTGCCAAGGAACATGCACCAATTAAGAAGTACACGGCTGTCCCGGCAATCATTAGATCACGCTGATAGTCTTACGTCAGATGAAGATGACGATGATGATGGTTTTGAGTTACTCACAGCAGAAAATTTATTTTCAACGTTACTTTCACGAGTTCGGAGCCTTACTCAGAGACTTAATGTAGACGATAAAAAAATTTGCAACTTTCCTAGTAAAAGATTGCTTACCAGATTCGATGCAAATTTATCTTCAGAATTTTAAATGGCTCATGAAAGTGAACCTAGTTGTACCAAAATAAATTTTTGAGAGATGATCAAAATGTATTGTTTACGTTTTTTCACAAAAAAGTTTGAATCAAAGGAAATATTAAGTTTTTTATCTAATTTACAATACCAATGATACAGAAAAATATTAATACAAAATATAATAACCTTAAAAAAAAATACCAGGAATGGGTAAAAGAATATGTATGTGTATATTATTCATCATCATCATTCTCAACATTATTATTATCATCATNATATATATATGTTCATATATTTATGCGGCATAATTGTTTTACAAGACAACCACATACGTAATGTGGGTGTTATAACTTTTATACTCATACTAGAAATACGACACTTTTTATACTTGAAAAATCATTTCTAATGATTGATTTTATTCGCTGGATGTATACATCATACCTCCGTAATTGCTGCCAGTTTTTTAATGAACAGTAACGAACAATTTTAAATAATTAAAACTAGATCACAGATTACAACAAGATTTATCGTTGATTTACGTTTTATTTTCAGTAAATCCTTGTAATCGTAAAACTTAAGATGAATTTTTATAAAAAATCTTATATGACTAAAAAATTTTAGAGTGCTGCTGAACTATACACAAAATACTGTCAGCTTTATTTTTAATTAATTATAACTCATAACGATGATCACGAATTTTTTTCAATTTCTGATATTTTATGCAAGAGTCTATTAATAAAAAACATAGTAACAACTAATCATTTTTTATAACAAAATTTATGCTTTACTTTTTGTAGCCTTAAACATACGATTCATAAATATTTATTTTTGGCTATCATATTGATTTCAGCAGTTTGTTTGGTAAAAGCAAGGCTAACTTAGGAAAGACTTAATTTGAATTGAGGAGACGGCATTTTTTAAAGTCCAGCAGTAATGTGAGTTTAACGCCCCAACGCTGATATAACCAGTCGTTTTGGTCGTAAACATGACAGACTAACATTCAATTTTTGTTTAATAAAGTCATGATATATTGAGAACTAGTTCTCCTTTCCAATAGTTCAGTGAATATGACTTCATATGAGTCTTACTGCTTAATTTCAACGTACTATGCATGTTACTACGCAGTGGTTTAATGTCGTCTTCATGTAAAACTTTTATGCTTGTTTATTTAGGGCTAGCATTCACAATAAAACTTCACTTGATATTTCTTGAGCGAAAATTTTTTTATTCATATACTAGTGAATATTAAGTCTAGTTATAAGGAAATTTTTATTTATTTTTTTTTTTTTTGTAAATCATGCGCTATTTTTTGCAGCAATAGGTGTTAGTGGGTAAAAATTATTTTTCCATCTCCTCAAGGCTGAGAAAATTTCTTCATAATACCTTGTGTTCTCTTGTAATAATATGTTCGTCGTAGTCGTTATTGGTGTGTATGTGCGTGGCGCTTTCTCGTGAAAAAGGGAGACTGTCGAAGTAAAGCGTCGTGTGATGGTAGATACAACAGCAGAACGAAGCAAAACAAAAAGGTCTCCATGGCGAGACGAAATAATGACTAGTATAGAAATAAGAAAACTTTTGCTCAAGAAAAACCAAGTGGTGTTTTATTGTGGATGTAAACCCTAAATAATGTTAAGCTTATCAAAAAACTAGCAAATGAAAGTTCCGAAGGAGTTACTCTTCCCAATTAATATGCTTTTTGTTAGAGTACTGAAATTTTCTTATAATATTCGATTCTAATACCTGAACACACCTATCTTCACTTATAGCATTTTTAATATTTCTTGTTTTATGGGTTTTGTTTTGAACATATACTCTCAAAACCATGGTTAGGGATCCCACAGAACCCTGCATATTTTTTTTAACCCCCACCACCCCACTGACAATTTCCCTACAGATCTTTATGAACCATGATGTGTATACATACATGTACATGTCATATACGTAAGGATACATATACGTTTATACATTTTATTAACATGTGTTTACATTTTATTTTGTTTTTAATCTTCTTCATTATCTACTTTACAAAAGACGAAGAATTTTATCATTGCTAAATCGAATAAGGACCCAGATATGTTTACATACGTGTGCGTACCGTATGTATACATACGTAAACCCCCTAAAATCCAACACAGCTCCTCACATATCCCTTGAAACCTCCCTTCCTAATGACTCCTGTTGGTCGCAAACAACCACTCTAAAAGAAAAAGAAAATTCTGTTGTTCTCTTACGTATTTTGCCTTATCTTACTTTTAATTTAGACGCCCTACTACTCATTTAATACTAACAGCTGTTAAATGCCCCCATATACTTCCCGCTGCCCCACGAGAAATTTTTCTTAACCCCTTCTGGTCACCCCTACATCCCACCAGTCCCCAACAACAACTTATACAGACACATGTGTTTATATTATCTTATCAACAAATCACGTTGAAAAATAAAATAATACATACACGTATAAATGTTAGTGAATTTAATTTGCTAGTAACATATATATTATTAACGTTGTAAGTGTATGCAAAAGTTGTTTTCGTTATTCTAACTTATATTTTTTTTCTTAGATAATCTACTGGCCTTAACCGATCTTATAAATCCTTGGATTTTTATTTTTAATACATGTTGTTATGTATTTCCCCAAATTTATCAGGACGTAAGAACATGGACGTAATGCTTAGAAAAAGTTCATAGTTTACTTATTTTTATAGCTGGCAAGATTACAAAGTAATTTTTATTAATTTAATTTTAATTTTGTTTAAGTATTAAGTTTTTGGTGCGCTACGAATTTTGTGGTAATATTAGTATTGAAACGTGTAAGAAAATTAAATTTCTTACTTGTTTTTGTACAATATGATACTGATTTATACGTAAATATAAATAACACTTAATTATACAATAATGCAAACCGTCAAAGTATTGCCCTACAAGAGAGGCTCATTGTTGTAAGTCGACTTACAGAACCAGTTAACTTATTTGATAAGTATTTATTTTGCTGTTAGATGTATGCTCCTTCAGTAGGAAGTCTTTTAATTATTTGTTTTGTGTATAGAATATGATAAATTTAAAATAGTCTTTTCTTTTAGAGGTTAAAAAGTTAATAATGTGTATATAAAGCTTGAAGCAATAGGTCGATTCTAAAACTGTTTGGTGATCCCAATCAGAATTCTATCACAGAGAGAGAATCTTCAAATGCTGGGGGGTCTGAACAAAAATTAAGCTAAGTCGAAATAAAGGAGAAAACTATGGAATTTAATCTTAATTTGTGGGTGGGCATTAGTAGCTAACGAGGGTTGCTTGGGAATTGCGAGAAGAGGGGGCTAGTAAAAATTAATTTAAAAAAAACTATAACCTTATCAAAGAACATATTAAAACTTTGACAAAGATTTAAAAAAAAAATCCCATAGCTAAAAACTATAAACTCGGGACTTCTGAAAAATTTTCTTTTATCAGTACATTCTAAGGAATTACCAGAAAACTATTTTGAGGAAATCTTTTTATGTTAGTTATCTTACATTATTGATCTAATAGTAAGTCCATTATTTTTTTTCCAGAAAATTTAATCTAGAGTACGGGTATCATTAGAAATTACTTAACAGAGAATAAAAAACTTAATATGTTTTAATATCATGGATACAGACTGTCTTACACGTTAAATTACGAGAATTTTGGTCCAATATGATAGGGAGGAGGGTTGACTCAGAATTGTTTTATACATTCATACATCGTACTTAAAAACGTCTGTTTTATTTATTGGAGATATAATTGTAAACATTTCAAAACTGAATATTATTCAGGATAATTAGATGCAGTAACTAATAGAGCATAAAATTTTTTTTGAATTTTTAAGATGAAGAAAAAAAATTGGATATCTTTTTATACTTACATTTGAATATATTGGAAGTCCAAGATATATGGGGAAGCTCTCTCAGGATTCAATAGCCATCATGAGAAAATTTGGTAGACCAAAGTTATCTATTATAGTAAAATTTTATCATAAATGGAAAAAAGTTAGAGTAGTTTTATCCAAATACCCAAAAAAACATTTCACCAAATGATATTCCATATATCATCGTAAGATTATTTTATTTAAAATGACTATTGACTCTAGATGACATAAAAAAAATAATATTTTTGGTTAAGTGTTGACGTACGTTTATACAATTAAATTTCAGTAATGTGGTTTACCCCATGCACACATTTCAATAACTCTACAGCTTGTTAAAAAATATTATGCCTGAACAAATTGATACACTTAATACTTCTTTAATTCCTCCAAGTACTGTGAGACTTACAAAATTAGTTACTAAACACATGCTTCACGGTCTTCATACACAACGCAGTCGTCGTATGGTTTATTCTAATTAGAAATATACAACAAATTTATCAAATCTTGTTATAAACGTATTATATTTCAAAGTTTGTTCTAAACACAGAACATGTCTAATAAACATATTTACTAAATTTGGACAAGAGAGAAAATTTGAAAAGACAATTAAACAGTTAACCTTATAATAAATTTTTATTTATGAAATATGAATTTTATATCAACATTTTATGATGTGCATCAATCAAAAGTATGAAATATACTTATGACTATGTTCATATACGTAGTAACAGAGCATACATTAAAATTCGAAAATTTAAACACTATTTTTTCTGCATCAATGTATTCTACCGGTTTTGTGTGTAACGAAAGTTCTGCATGTAAAAGACGATTTCTGAAGTTGTATTTTTGTTAACAAAGTTTTTTTCTTTTACAAAGATTTTGTTATAAAAAACGCAGCATCTGGAAATGGTTATCACGAAAAACACATTTTCACAAAACACAATTTCTGGAAATCACTTTTTATATGCAGAGCTTTCGTTACATACAAAACCGGTAGGATACGCTGATGCAGAAAAAAATGGTAATTTTCCAAATCAATCAATTTTATTTTCATCATAAATATCCATCTCCAAGGATGCACACATGTTTTATACTATGTTCGTAATGCATAAGGTAAATTTTTAAACAAATAAAAAAAAAATTTCGACAATGACACTCATTTATAGGATTTGTAGATC